AGGAGAGCTAGCACATCAGATAAATTAGGCTAAAGGCATCTTGATTTGAAGCATGTTGCTGAATACACCTCTCTACTTCAGCTGAAATTCTAACTGCACTATTAAGGTAATTTATTACGCTCATTAAGTACCACAATCTGAGACCTTGTCTACAGTAGCTAGTTTTATACACTTTAAAAATGTTAGCAAGTCACCCCATTACATCTTAGTCATGAGACTAATGCAGATTACTTATTACTTCTCTTGGCAATCACATAACACTTGTCCTGAGAATGAAAGATGATGCCTTGACAATAATACGCTATAATGTAATAACCCTTCACATGGTATAAAGTGCGGCACTTTTTCTTTTGAGGATCACTAAGTGCTGGGCAGGCATTCATTAATACAGCCTCACCAGACCCTGGCGACACAGCCCTCCCCATTCAAAATTCAGCCACCCTGCCAACATCCCCGTGTGTCTCTGCACAGTGCCCATCCCCGCTGCTACATTCAGCACAGCCCTCTGAAATACCATTGCTTCCACTCTCTCCCTCCTATTTGTAACAGGAGATACCTGCAGGCACAGGATATCTGCTGAAACGTTAATGAAGAGAGAAGTAAGTGTTGTTTTAATATTCTCCAGGCCAGTAACCTGAAGAATAGAGCAGTTACCTGATCTGCCCAGGGCCACTCAGCAGCTGGGGAAGAAATGGGAATAAAATCTAGAAGTTGTGGTTCTGCTCAAAACAGCCCTCCCTTGGGGTCCCTGCGAGAGCCCGCAATTCAAATGCAGAAGTAATTGCTAAATAATTAGTAACCTACACGATTACTTCCATGCATCCGTCAGTATTTTATGCCCTGAAGGATCAGTCAATAAATGCCTGAGATTACAACTATCATGGTTTCCTACCCACCAGAAGGCCTAGACAACATGCAGTCTAAAAAAATTTTTCCTTCCTAAGGAGTATTGTCAATGGGAACTAGAAACTGGCTCGAATGGGAACTAGAAACTGGCTCGAGTGTGTTGTGTGCAGCTTTACCAGCATGCCCATGCTGCAAAAAGCACCGATATTGGTGCAGCACCCCAGCTTTGGGCAGGTCCTTGAGGATTTCAGCTCCTGGATTCATGTGATCGACATGCAGCTTCCATTAGGGGAAAAAAAGAAGTGTCTAGGCGTTATGGTGAAAAATCAGCATGTTAAAACTGGAACCGAAAAACCTCAGGAATTAAGGCTTGCAAACGCCCCCTTCCCACCTGATCAGGATTTTTTTGAGCGTTGTGGGTGCAGAACGCACCGTGGAGGTGACAGATGACCAGAAAAGCAGTTGCCATGCCTGTATTCACTGGGATATGAATCAAAAGCTGTGCAGAGGAACCTATTTGCAGCGCACCAGAAGAAATAATACTGATGTTATGCAGCCCAGTAGGTAGGCAACACCTTTTTTGTCCTATTCAGCTTGCAGTTTCTCTCTTTGCAGACAGAGCACTTTCAAAACCCGGGTTGTTCTTTCAAAACCTGATACACTCTCCTACTCTTTTATGGTTTCCAACTGTTCTCTTCTTCTTGTTCTTTATTCTTTCCAAATCAATAGCATCC